GAGTTGTCTTCCGCCATTAGAATGTAAGCCCTGCCCTAGAGGGCAGGGACTGTCTTTCTCTTTCTATTTGCATTTCTGACACTTAGCACACTGCCTGGCACATAGTTAAGTGTTTATTAAATGCTTGTTGACTGACTGAAAGGATAAGCAGGCATGGATGAGTCTTCTGTAATGTTGGAGGAAACCACAATATCAGTGAGATCCCAGACCCATTTGAAAATTGAGTATGCAAAGTTTAATTTCTGGGATCCATCTTCAGGTGCCTCTCACTCAGACCTGGATGCCCCCAAGTGTAGTCTGGATGCCATGAAGGAGCCTCCCTATCGAGACTAGCAAAATGCCTTGCTGACAGTAATCACTGGATAAATATTTGATGAATGGTTGATTAAATGAATCAATGAATATGAATTCAGAAGCCTAGTGAGATAAAATCATACAAGTGGAAAGTCTAGGATAGATAAATTAGCTGACATTTTGCAAAAATAAAAATCTTAAGACAGAAAGACATATAAAACGAATGCTCTGGGCTATGAGCAGTCTCTAGACAATGTTTTTTCTAGTGAAGCCCTGAGACAATTTCATAGCTCTGCTTTCAGTGTCTGAGGCAAGAAATTCATGTAAAGGAACAAATTTTGAAGTTTCTGGTACAGAAATAATTCCCAATCATCCTTCCTGGAGAGATCAAGACTTGGATGAAGTGACAACATATGGAGGAGGTGGCATCTCGGGTAAAAGATTTGATTCAGAAGCTTAAGGAAAGAGTTTTTGCTTTCTGAGACTCCTGTGCTTCCCCAACAGGGAACCAGTGCAGTAGAAATTGCTTCTATGCTCCTAACAATCAGGTCCCAACATCTGTACAGAGACTATGTGAAGCTGGAGAACTTGATCTCTCGTCCCCAAACCCGAGGGTGATCTCCAAGTGGGAGCAAACAAAAGTACTGTGGGCACTGGATAAATACCTGCCCAACTTGAAAGACAACACCTTGAGACCATGGAGTCAGTTCCCAAATGAAGTATATCTATGAAAGAATCACCTGAGGCAGAGGTTTCCAGACTTATTTAGCCTACCATCCCCTTTTCAAAAAAATTACTCAACGCCCCCCCCCCGGAAATCTACTTTCTTGAACCCTGTAACAGTTTTGTTTTGTTTTGTTTTTTTAATTTGCATCATTTCAAACTACTACTACCCCTCTGTTCCAGCACCCACCTGGGGGCAGTATCACCCATTTTGGAAACCTATGACTGAGGTGAATCATAAGGGATCCGAAGATGGGAGAATTTCAGAAATGTGCTGATAGGTTTGAGATGCTCTGGGGCAAGATGGAAAGATATTTGAAGTTTAGCTTGGGTACCATCCCATCTAGGATACCTTTCTTTATTCTCTCAGTTGCTAGTATTCTCTTCTTCCTCAAACTATCTTACATCATATACATATACTATCTTTGCATGTGTTATAGCGCACCAGTAGAATGTAAGCTCCCTGAGGCCAAGAGCTGTTTTGATTTTTATCTTTGTATTCCCAGCCTCTACCATGGTACCTTACACATAGTAAGTCTTTAATATACTTTTGTTGAATTGAATTGAGGACAATAAACAAGGAAATTAAGCAACTTCTTTATGGTCACAGAACTAATAAATGTCCAAAGCAGGATTGAACTCAGATCTGTTCCAACAAGTCTAGTAGTCCTTTCACTTACACTATCTCTTTTGCCTCTTTTTGTATCCCCCAACATTTAGCACAGTGCCTGACATATAGTAGGTGCTTAATAAATGCTTACTGATTGAATACTAAATAACCACTTGAATTTGAGCACATTTTTGAAGTTCTCTGATCTTGAGTGCCTCATCTGCAAAATGGGGGAAATGATACTGGAAATTATCTACCTCTTGTAGATTGTCAGAAAAGCACTTAGTAAACCTTAAAATCCTATAGAAATGTGAGTTGTTATTATCTCCAGGACTCCTTCCTGCTCTGATTATTCTATGGTATTCCTTATCAGTATAGTGTAATACTTTAGTATCTCTCAAAAAAACGCCCTGACATGTCACAATGTCCTGTGTTTCCTCACTTCCTTTTGCCAATTTCTGACCATGATGGGGGAGGTAGTAACATTAATGTGGCAGACATAAGAAGAAAGAGGGCAACTGTGTGGGTACCTGTGTGCACCGATGTGTCTTTGTGTCATGTGCTGGGAATGTGACATGGTTACATAGACGGTCGGATTGGTGCATAGCTGGATGCAAAGCAACATAAAGCACTCACTCCTGCTGAATTTCCACACATCCGAGGTTGGATAAAGTGAAGAAACAACTGCCCTGATGTCCCTCTTCTCTGATGAACTAATGTTCCTAGACCCTCTTTACCCCTGAGAAAGATGCTAAGAAGCAGCCTAGAAGCAAGGGCCAGAAGAGAAAAGGAGAAGAAAAGGGACGACAATGAGCAAACCCTGAATGATCCAAGGTTAACTACATGCAGGATTTCTCTATAGCCTTTAGATACTAGCTGGACTCAGGTTTTTGGTTGTTTTTTTTAAAATTGTTATATGCAATGCAGGGAGGTGCACGCACAGTAGATGGACTTGAGAAGACCTGAGTTTAAATCCTTCCTTAGACACTTACGAGCTGTGTGACACTGGGCAAGTCAATTAACCTCTCTGGGCCTCAATTTCCTTATCTGTAAAATGTAGCAGTTAGACTACATGACTTCTAATGTTCCTTCTAACTCTAAATCTATTTGAACCCATGAGAAGGATTAGATTTGTTCTTGTCTCCAAAGGTTAGAACTAGGAGCTGCACAGAGGCAAATTTTGGCTTGACAATTAGGCTTCCTCGGGAGCGAGTGGGTTTCCCTTCCCTTGTGATCTTCGAGTGAAGGCAAGACGGCCATTTGTTGGAAATAAGGACATAGGAAGAGATTATTGTCAAGATGCTAGTAAGGCTGGCTCACCTCTGGGACGCTTTCCAACTCTGACATTTTGTGATTGAGCCATCGCTCGCTCTATCCTTGAACAATGGTAGACTGAACTGTCCCTTATCCAGTGAGTCATGACAAGGCCATAAAGAGAATATGGGTTTCCTCTACATTCTAGACAATGAGATTTCAACTGTTATATGTAAATGGTAAATGAAGTAGAAAAACACAAGACTAGGAATCAGGATGCTTGGCTCTAAGAATAATTAGTTGCACAATAGAGCAAGTCACTTTTTATTCTGGACCTCAGTTTCCTTATGTGTAAAATGAGGGGATTGGATGGTAGTTAGGTCTGTTGCAGCCCTAATATTTGATGATTTGATACTTCGAGAAGCAGATAGGTGGCAAAGTAGATAGGGCACTAGGCCTGGAGTTTGGAAGACTCATTTTCTGAGTTCAAATCTGGCTTCAAATATGTACTAGCTGTGTGACCTTGGCCAAGTCCTCAGTTTCCTCATCTGTAAAATGAGTCAGAGAAGCAAATGGCAAACCATTCCAGTATTTTTGCTAAGAATACCTCAAATGGGGTCATGAAGAGTCAGAAACAACCGAACAAAAATACTTTTATGATTCTAAGGAAAAAATGTGGTTCTGGAGACAGTGATAAGAGCCAATGAGCTACCTACTAGTTCTCTAAGACAGAAAGCCTCCTTCTCAACCAGGTTTCTCCCAACAACCTTCCAAAGCAACAAAACAGACCTTCAAGCAGAGGTCTACTATTCTACACAGTGGGGAAAGTGGAACAAATTGTCAAGGCAGAGTTTCCATGAGGTGGCAGGGTAGATGCAACTCCCTACTAGTATCCCTACTAGTATCACCTTAGAAAGGCAGTTTACCTACAGTGAGCATATTTTCCAAACCAAAAATCAGATTCCATGGACCAACAAAAGATATTCCTTTTACAAAGCCTCACTAAAAGCACATCTTCTTTTCCTGAAATCTGAGCTGTTCCAGGAAAAAAAAAAAAAGATGCAACTGTAAGGTTATCCCCACAGGATGCTGGGAAAATACCCTATTACCTTCTGGGAGGTATTTTTATGGGCACCATTAAAGGTTAATATATTTGAAGTCCCATTCTTTCTAAAAGACTGAACTAGCTCCACTTTTACCATTATTTTAGGGGTCCAAGATCCCCTCCCTTGCCTTTCTTACATGGCTGAAAAATCACAAGGCCAGACCACAGCATATACACATACTGGGGGGCCTGCAAAGGAAGTGGAAAGCCAGTAACTATTGGTTTCCTCTTTTACTCTGCTCTAGGAGACACTGTGATGGTTTTCTTCCATCCTTTCTTTTTCTTTCTTTCTTTCTCTCTTTTTCTCTCTGTCTCTCTTGTTTTAGCCATCCTGCCTGCAGATAACATCAGTAAGTAGTTCAACCCGATAAGCATTAATTAAGCTTCTACCTTGCAGAAGGCTGACTGACAGAAAGCAAAGAAAATACATACACACAGAATTAACGGCTCCAGTCACGAAAGATTTTACTTACATTAGGAGCCTTCATGGAAAACTTCTGCCCTGGTTTCTATCAGATTTTTTGGTCTTTCTGGGTATATGGCTGTATCTTACCTAAATTTCCTCAGTGGCTGGCACAAAACTATGCAATGCGCCTAGTCAGTGTTTGTTTCATTTCCCCAGACTTTGGGTTTCACTGAGTTAATACCAATTACAACATTATTATATATTCTCTTTTCCCGGAGGCACCTCCTGATGTTCCTAAGATTAAGAGACCAGAAGGGACTCAACTGAAAAGGTCACAAGCCAAGTCAGGCCTAGGGAATTCTGGGATCCTAGCCCCAGGGCCATCTGGCCAGGCCACTTACTAAAAAGCCATGACAGACACTCTCTCCTCCCTCCTTCTCTTTTTCTTTCCCTCCCTCTCTCTCGGTCATAAGAAGTGTCCCTCCTCCACCCCACTTTAGAAAGTCAGAGCGACAGGAAGCAGATTGCCAAGTTGCAGGCCATGATGCCGCCTCTCCGCAGGCTACCCAGCTAACAGTTGCTCGGGGGCAAATTCCGGTAGTCCTTACCTTACCCCCGCCACTCCCTGCTCCTCCTCTGGACTTCTCTGACAGCTGTTCAACAACGCACGTTCGTTCTCGTCTAGTACTTGGTCCCCGTCCTCCTCCGCTCCCTAGGAGCTGCCAAGTAGGAAGCGGGACAGGATAAAGTAGTTCGGATTACCTGGCTTGGGATAAATTGTTTGCACTCCTGTGTGCTAGCCCCCGGGGCTCTCTCTTGGCTTTGAGGGCACCTCCAAACGCAGCAGGACAGGGATCCAAAGTTTAAAGAGAACCAGGTGGCAAGACATTAGAAGCTTGGGGAAAGGGTGGGGGATAGGAAGGGGGTAGCTCCAGCCTCAGGAGGCGGGGCTGACGCTGCCCTAGCCTACCTCGCAAGTTTTGTCTCCCTGGCTCTTGCGTTCCCAGGTTCCCCCCTGCACACACGCACACACGCACACACACACACACACGCACACACGCACACACACACACACACACTTGTCGCCCCGTGCTGTAGTGAACATGGAAGGGGAAGTCTGTGTCCGCGAGCACTTGTCGGGGCGGTTCTAGAAAGGGCCGATGTTGGGGGCAGATATAGCCCCAAGCATAGGCGTTATATAGTGCTTACTCCTTAGCACTTTTTTGTTTGTTCTGAATAAGACGTGATTTCATAGAGGCTCCCGAGAAGGAACTTTCTGGGCCAATGGAGATCAGTACTCTCCCCGCAGTATGCCCTTAGAGGGGTGCTCATGGACACTTGTTGCCCAGTCAATCAAAAGTGCCCTTAAAGAAAAAGAGAGCATGCTAATAGAAAGGGGGAGGGGAGAAAAGCATTTATTAAGCACCTACTATGTGCCAGGCGTTCTGCTGAGGGCATTTCAAACATCTCATTTGGTCCTCACAATAGCCCTGACAGTAGGTGCTATTATTATCCCCATTTTTAAGTGGAGGAAATTGAGGCAGACAGAGGTTAAGTGACTTGCCCAGGGTTACACAATTAGTATGTGTCTGAGGTCAAATTGGAACTCAGGTCTTCCTGACTTTAGTCTCAGGGGTGCACTAAGATACTTAGCTGGTGCATAGTGGAAAGAGGGTTAGAAAAGGGTTCTAGGAAAGTTCGGGCTCCATATAAGGAAAGATAGTCTGAAAATCGAATGGGTTTCCTCAATTTCAGCACTGGAAGCTGCTTAAGCACTTGTCTGTGATGGCTTAAGGACAGGTTCCTGTTAAGGTAAGGCTTGGACTAGATGACCTCTAGTCACAGGAAGGCAGCATGTTAGATCGTGGTAGAGTGGAAAGTACACTTGCCTTTGGACCTGAGTTCTAATGTCATTTACACAATTGTTATGACCTCTAGCAAATCACTTAACTCCCCTCTTTCCTCCTCTGTAAAATAAGGGGGGCTGGAACAGATGACTTTTGAGGCTCTTCCACCCACCAAAGTCCCTTCCACCCTGAAGATTCTGTGGGTCTGTGGCCCCCTTTTTGTTATAACCAACTTGTGTGACTTTGAGTAAATCAGTTCCATTCTTTGGATCAAAACTTCCTTACCTGTGAAATGAAGGGGCTGAACTAGAACACTCCTAGGCTTTTCCAGCTCTACTACCTCTGAGTCTATGATGTCCTTAGAGCCCAGGATTTGTGTATACACCAATGTATAGCTGATAGTGGGAAAAGGGGACCAGGAAACATTGTGCTGAGAGAGGGCAATGACAACTAAAAGAGAAAAAGGGCACTTTAGAGACCCTTACCTTTGTTGAAGGAAAAATAGTGTTGAGTTTGATACATAAGCTTGTTAGAAACAATTTTATTAATTGAGCTTAATCTAAGCCTGTTTCTGCTTAGAGAAAAGTAAAATTGGCAGTCACCTCATGCTCTTGGAAATCTTCTACCAAGCCATTTTGAAGTTACAATTTTGAAGTATTCCTGAACAAAGGCAATTTCACAGTCAAGATTGAGCAAGGGTTCAAAACTTGGGTAACAATTCAGTTGACAGTTTGCTTCATCAAACAGAACAATATTCACTTAATTTTGTGAGTCATTTTCCTAGAACCATTCAAGTCCTCTTTGAACACTCCTCTAAGGCAGGGAGTCTTAACCTGGGACCCTTAAGGGGTCTGTGGATAGATTTCTGGACTTTCTTTAACTTGGTTGGGGGAAAAAATGTATCTTTACTTTTACTAACCTTTAGCTGAAAGTTAGCATTTTGTTCTACTATGAAGGTGAACAATGAGCAATGAATCTCTGCCAAAGTGACAAAAGAGGTTAAGAAACCCTGTTCTATGGATTCTTCTTTCCAGTTAGTCAAAGATGAATTCAAGAGATACATTCACTAACTGAAATCTTCAAATATTTTGTCTTTCTCCAGGTCTGATCATTACTCTAATTAGATCAAAGCATGGGAAAAGAGACGAACCTGTTGCTCCTAGTTTCATCAGTCAGGGGTCCCATGCCTTTGTCTGGTCACCAATCTAATTCAGAGAGCAGCCTTCCCCCCACCCCTGAACTTTCATGCAGGACACCTCAAAGAAACCAACTAGGCCTTTGGTAAGAGAGAAAAGGGATATAGTGCAAGGCATTATTGCAGAATTGATAGTTAAAACTGATAAAAGTTCCTCAGGCAGGTTAAACTAAGACATTTAGACAAAGCAAAGGTCACCAAATTCAATCTGATGCCTGTGGTTGTAGAGCCATGAGCTAAGAAGAATGGTTGTTACATTTTAAAAGAAAGTTTTATTATATTAAAAAATGTACAAACCATTCCCAGCTCTCCAGCCTTCAGCAGGCAAGATTTGGCCCCTAGCCATAGTTTGCCAATGCCTGAACTATTGTCCTAATATTATTTTGTAATGCATATCCTTAAAAGATAAGGTTGGGGAGAGGGAGGGGATACTCAGTATGCTTCTACATATTGCATTGAGGAGATGGCACTAGTAGATTGGAGATGTCTAGAGATGTGCCCTTTCATTGCTTGAGAGCCATAAGGAATGACAAAAGGTTGCATGAAGAGAGGCAAAAGAACGTCTCACATGTTTGCTTATACTGCACCTCCATGCCAGCTTTCAACTGGCAAGGCGCCAAGATAGAACTGGTGAGTTAGAGACCCCAGATTTAAGACTATGATTGCTAGGATTTGCATATATTTCAAGAACTAATGGTAGTCCATTCAAGGGTCTCTTATTTATATCTCCATTTTTAATAAAACTTTTCTTCTGTAATACTGTGCTTCTCCCCCACAGCATAACCAGGTCCTTTGCTTGTGAAAAACAAAAGGGTCACATATAAATATTGGAAAGTAAGGCTCAAAGAAGTTGTCTAGCATGGCTGCTGGTAAGAGACAGTCCACAATTGGAGCCTGTAATTCCTACGTCCACTGGCTCTTCTCCAGTTAAATATTTAACTGATTCAGGCAGTCACTAAGCATGTAACCTTTGCTTTTGGCATAACCATTTCAATGAGAGGAGAGCATTGCTCAACATTGATGCCTGCTGCTTAGACAACTGTTATTAGGGCTCCTCTTGACCCAAGCCTAGTCTACCTGCAGGGTTCTTCTCTGCCCTTCTGGCCAGCCTCAGACAAAATTGTGAAGTAGATGATCTGATGACTGAAGCAGGCTGGACTCCTGAAGTTAGGGCCCTCCTTTGGGTGGAGAAGTTGCATCTCAATGAGGCTCCTTCAAGCTACAAGTTAAACCATGACAAAAGGTTAGTAGGAAGTATCCACTAATACGGTGATATGGACAAGTTTATCAGATTAGGCAGCTGTCACTTCAGAAAGGAAAGAGCAGGGTCTTGAGGGGATGGGAGGATGGTACACAAATACGGTAAGTTCTGATGGAAGGTAAGTGAAAAGTTACAGGATTTGGAGTCAAATGTTGTGGATTCGAATCCTGCCTTTTCCAATTACTACCTATGTGGCCTGGGGCAAGTTCATTTAACCTTTCTGGGCTTTAGTTTCCCCATCTCTAAAATAAAGGTGTTGGGCTAGATGTCCTTGAAGATTCCTATCATCTATGATTCCTTCCACCTATGGTTCCTTCCACCACTATCAATCTATGATCTTATGATTCCATGAAAGGTCTGGAGCCAGGAGTTCTGGCTAGGGAGGGCAGGTCTTTATGAAACACAATAGTGGGGGGTTCTGGGCAATGAGGGGGCAAGATGGGATCGCTTAGGTGAGATGTCTAGGCATAATAGGTATAGAGAGGCACCCAGTTAAGGGAGAAGAGCAGTGGAAATGAACTTTGATATACTGTACTAACACTTACCTTGAAGAAAACCAACCTTATAATCTAGGTACACATTGGATGATTCTTCTTCTTCTCTCTCTCTCTCTTCTCTCTCTGTGTCTCTCTCTCTGTGACTCTCTGTTTTTATCTCTGTCTGCTTCTCTCTCTCTGTATCTATCCATCCTTCCCTTTTTTGTCTTTGTCTCATTGTCTTTCTCTGCCTCCCTGTTTCTCTTTCTATTTCTCTCTGTCCTGGTCTTTTCCTCACTATCTCTGTCTGTCTGTCTTTCTCTCTCTCTGACTCTCTGTTTTTATCTCTGTCTCTCTGCTTCTCTCTCTCTCTCTCTGTCTATCCATTCTTCCCTTTCTGTCTTCCTCTCTCATTATCTCTCTGTGTATCCCTGTTTCTCTTTCTATTTCTCTCTGTTCTGGTCTTTTCCTCACTATCTCTGTCTGTCTGTCTGTCTCTCTCTGACTCTCTGTTTTTATCTCTGTCTCTCTGCTTCTCTCTCTCTCTCTCTCTGTCTATCCATTCTTCCCTTTCTGTCTTCCTCTCTCATTATCTCTCTGTGTATCCCTGTTTCTCTGTCTTTCTATTTCTCTCTGTCCTGGTCTTTTCCTCACTATCTCTGTCTGTCTGTCTGTCTGTCTGTCTGTCTGTCTGTCTCTCTCTCTCTCTCTCTCTCTCTCTCTCTCTCTCTCTCTCTCACACACACACACACACACACACACACACACATACAGACTCTCCTCCCTCTCCTGCATCTTCCCCTCCCCAAAGACCCACAGTATGCTTCATTGTTGTTGTTATTTAGTCCTTCAGTTGTGTCTGACTTGTAACCCTATGGATCATAGCTGTTCATGGGCTTTTCTTGGCAAAGACACTGGAGTGGTTTGCCATTCTCTTCTCCAATAGCTTAAAGCAAGGAGAAATTGAGTAAGTGACTTGCCACACAGCTAGTAAGCATCTGAGTTTGGATTTGAACACAAGGCCCAAAACTCTATCTACTGAGCCACTTAGCTGTCTCCTCAAGTTTACTAGAACTAAACATAATCTTAAGGACTTTTGGTTGTGTGGATAAAGGTAAGTCCCTGAGAGGTCATGGCTTTTGTATAGTACAAAAATAAAAACAGAATGCCAGGGTAAGAATCCTGGCTTTACTATTTATTTGCTGTCTATATGACATTGAACTTTGATAGAACCTCAACTT